TCCCTAATTGAAGCATAATAGATGAAAACCCTAATTCTTAAGCCTTGAAGAAAGAAGCCTCGCAACTTGATGTTGAGAAGAAGAGAATATCCCCGTAGCTTGATGATAAAGAAGTCCATGAAATAAAACCCTAGCTTCACACAAACGATTGATGGAGAAATCAATTGAAACAAGCTTGTGCAAAGATGAGAGCCTTAAAGCCATACAACAACCCTAATTCCTCGAAATCCATGATCCCATGCTAAAAATTAATTGATTAATGATGCATGATGTGTTAGATGACCTAATGAAGATTATATATATGACAAAAGTGTGAGATGCATAAGCCAAATAAAAGTAAAAGAGTAGGACAAATTTGGGGTATTACACCTGAGGGATTATCGTAAGTGTTTATTTATGTTTTATATTATATTTTAAATTTTAAATTTTAGTTTTTTAATTAATACTAACTTAAAATTTTTTTGTTTATAATTTTGCCATCACATCAGGCTGTATCGAGGATAACATAAATTATTAAAGAAAAGTATAAAAAAATTTGGCCGACTTATGGAGCATTTATCGGTGATGAAAGGGAATATTGGTTTAAGATGTTTTAGGTGTAATTAACTAACTCATTTAAGTAATTATTATTTTAATTTACTTTAAATTATTGAGATATTCATGATTATATATTTAATATTTTTTGAATTCACACAACAATGTAGGAGAAATGTTGTTGGGACATTAGAGATGATCACCAAATGTGTTGCCCAATTTTTTGACACGCTTAGGCGTGGTAGAATTAAGTGGGAAAAAAAGGATCACGTCCCTGTTGGATAGGTCCAGATGTATTTCAACAACTTATTGACCATTGAAATACTCATGCCTTTAAAGAAATATCTGAAAAGGAAAAAAAAATAGAGCATCTGAAGTTGGTGGCTGCAACTATGTAGCAGGCAGTATTAGTGTTGCTGAAGTTGCACGAAGGATGATAAATTTATTTATTTTTAATTAATTTTTCATTTAGATTTTAGATTAATTATAAATATTTTTTTACTTATGTTCTCATTTAATTAGCGTGAATATTTAGGTAGAACTCCACTTCTTAATGAGACCCATCTTAAGAAAAATGGAGAATTTATCGACGTCCGCTCCAAAAACACTCAAGTAAGTTTTTCTTATATTTAGTCATTTTATTTTTTTTGTTTTATGTAGCTAACTTATTTAAATTATGATAATATTTAATTTATTTTTATAGGAGGAGTATGGTAGACTACTTGCCCTTCATCTATCAGAGCATCCTGAATTACCTGCACTGTCATCTGGATATCCTGCTGACCCTTCTATAGGTTTTCAGACTTGGTATGATGTATCATCCAGAAAGAGGAAAAATGAAAGAGTGTACGGTGTTGGAGGATTTGCCAAAATTATCAGGCGGCGTGATTTGAGTTTCAGAATGAGACTTACTAATGGAGAAGAATCATCAACTCCACCTATATTAACCGATAAAATGCTAGAAACCGTGAGAAACTTAACGCATATCGAGGCAGCACGCCAAGCAGCAGCAAGAAATACAGAAATGGAAGAAATGAAGAGAAAATAAATAGAGTTGCAGAAATAATTAAAGAGGTAAACAGTGGAGTATGATGAGGCAATGCATGTTGCAATTAAGCAACACACAAATTTGAACAATTGATGGCCTTTCAAATGAACCAAGATTCTAGTGGTGGAGTGGATATGGATAGCTGTTGAGGAGGAGGAGCAAGAGGAGAAGGAAGAAAAAATTAATTAGAATGTTTGAATTAATATGAAACTTTGTATTTCTAAGTTTAACTTGCTGGATATGTAGTCTATTACTTTTATTTCAATTTTAAGAATGAATGATCTAATTTTATAATTTTATTTAAATTTATTTTTACATGATTTTATAAATATAATATATTATAATTATGCCAAAAATTATTATAAATTTATTATAAATTTACTTTATTTAAATTTATTTATACAAAATATAATTATATAACCTTTTTTTTTTAAAACTGCAAAGCAAATTGTAAGGGGTTATCCCTAGAACTGGAAAAATGGGCTATTCGGCCCGTTTCGGGTCGGCCCGTGACGGATTCGGGTCTTTGACGGGTCGGGTCTAAAAACCCGAAATTTAAACGGGCTACAATTTAGTTATCCAAGTCCGGTCCTTCACAGACGACGGTTACTCGGGTCGGCCCAGATAATATTTAATATTAATTTTTATTAAAAAAATATTTTTTAAAATTAATTAATTAATTAATAGACTATAAACTAAAAAATATATCACTATTGATCACTAAAAAATATAAATCAATTACATTCATAACATCTAAGATAAAATATCATAAAAATAAATTAATTTAATTAAATAATCAAGATTTAAGTTGAGATATTAGTAGTATAATATATTATAAAATAGACATTAATTATATAATGTATTATAGTTTTTATTAAAATGGATATTAATAGCAAAATGTATTATAAAATGGATATTTTATTTTATTAAAAAATAATATGGACATTAGTTGTATAATGTATTATAATTTTTATAAAAAAATAGAAAAAAGTAAAATAAGTGGGCTACCCGTAATCCGATCGAGCTTTTAACGGACGGGATTAAAAGTCTAGATGATAAACGGACTCTAATTTTTTTGTTCAAGTCTGGATTTTTTGTCGGGCTTTTGGACTGGCCCAGTTAGTCCGATCCATTTTGTCGGCTCTAGTTATCCCCTCACAAATTTTTAAATGCATGTCATTTAGCTAGGGATTTAACCCTAAATTAATTACTGACACCTAGTCTCCACCTCTCTGCACCATCTAGTATGTGTCTACGTTTGTGTTTGAAGCTGAAAACTAAAATTTACATTTTACGATAGAGGAAGTCCCAAACTATTTAGTGAGGTGGAAAGCCCCTCACGGATCATTTGCAAAGACTTGTTTAATTAAGGGGTATGCCCCTTTACAAATTTCTATTTTGTGAGTTTTTTTTTTAGATTTATGAAAAATTTAATCCCTAATTAAAAAGGTTATTTCTTATAGTGATTATTTCCCACCAAAATTATAATCTAGTTATTTTTTAATGATTGTTATTAGAGTAATTCTAACTTGTGTACTATTGGCACATATTTAGAAACATAAATGAAAAGTTTATGTTAAAAAAACAATAAAAAATTAATATAAAATTTTAATCAAATTAATACAGAATGTTTAAAATAAATTTTTATATTTAACATAAGTTTTTAATTTATTGATTTCTTAACACGTGACTTGAAAGTATAAATTATCATTATCCTTTCATAAATTATTATCATTTGTAGTAAAATGTAAATAATAATTACACAATAAAGTAGTATATTTCTATTTATAAGACATTTTTATATAGATTTCTTGCCTTTTATTTTCTGTTATCTTACTATTCTACTAAAGGAAAATTAGAAAAGCATCTCACTTTTTAATTACTTCATTCTTTTATATGTTTTTCCTTTTACAATACTTTCTTCCACTTTCCTTTCTCAGTCAAACAAACGATTAAAACGAGAACATCATTTTTTTCCTTAAATTTTGTAAAAGAACCTTTTTCTTTAGAATTGATGATAATACCCAAAGTTAAAAGAAGTGATATATGGTTTATGATTTGCGTTCAATATTATTTTTCATATATTGTGAATATGATAATTTTTTAGGTACTTATGATAAGTAATTAGTTATTAGTAAAGAATTTAAATTTAATTTAAAATAAAATATTTATAAAAATAATATGTTATTGAATAATAATATTTAATTACGAGGGTACTAGTACCCAAATAATTTCAAAAATACCAAAACATTTATTTGATTTATTTTGTCTATTTATTACATCAATAATTATAATTAATATATTTTCATGCTCTTCAAATATTGTATCACCTATTTAGTGACTAAATCATATTGGTGAAAGTTCATGCACTTTGATCTGATTTGATTTATTGTGAATCCCCCACCATCAAAGTTTGGCATAAATGTGACCACCCCATTTACCAACTAAAACACGCATTTTCCTTTTATTACCAATTCTAATGTTAGATACCGCGTGCAACCACATCTTGGCAATTTGTAAAATAAGGAAGACAACTAAGGAATGAACTCTTGAAGAGTTAAACCATATACTAAACAACAATAAACACCTATAAACGTCACAATTCAACGTATCCAACCAAAATTCACATAACAATAGTACCAATCCATCCTACATGGTAAATAATGGCAACAAATTTCAATTGGTATCTCACACTTACCCACCTGTTAAAGGAACTTTCCATTCATTTTTGTGCATGCACATGTAAAACGTATCAAACCAAAATTTCGGCCTTAAACATTCCTTACAAGTATTCAATGACGCGTCACAAAACTAGCCAGATATGAACACAATATAGAAAAACAATATAGAAAAACAACAGGATGAGTAAATACCACGTATCTTAATCGTCATCCCAGCTTGTACAATATCCAAAGCCAATTCATCGTTCTTATCCTCAAACCAAACACGACACAGCTCTTTGTTTCACTTCACCCATGTCATCCACTCAAGCCCAGCTTTAACCAGCTCAATCCTTTAACCACTACTTGAAATCTTATTCATTAAGACACAAAAAAAAAATTATTTATGTATTGTTCACTGTGCCAACAGTAAAAACGGTTACGCGCTAACTCAGAAAGAAACACGCGACTTTATGAATCGATCACACCGTTTGATTATTCTGCGGTGGAATTTAAATCATCATAGACATAAATCAAAATTTGGATAATTAAATTTTCAGATATTGAATAAACATAAAAATAATTAAATAAATTGAATTGAATGTCCATGTATTAAGTACAATCTGAATTCTAAAACCAATCCCAATTTGTATTTACAGAACAAATTGATCTGAAACAATTGAAAGTAAAACAACTATGCACTATGCACTAAGCAGTAACAATAATAATAATAATAAAGTTGGATCTATTAAATTTAATCAGTGTTGAGGAATTTCAATCTTGAAAAGAAATGGCTTCTTGGCTGCAGGTAGAGGGCTGGAAACCTCGTCATCCACGAAACACTTCTTTGAAAAGTCCGGAAAAGCCGGGAGGTTAAGATCAAAATCTCGGTGCTGGCTGTGAGAGGATCCAACTCCTTCAGAGGCGGTTACGGCGCTACTTCCGGCTCCGCCGCCTGCACCGCCTTCGTAGTGGCAACGCTTGTGTCCACCCAAAGCCTGTCCGGTAGGGAAGGATTTGTGACAGATGGAACAGTCGTGAGTCTTGATCTTATTGGATGCAGAGCTGGTAGTCACGGCAGATGAGGTGGTGGTGGTGGCGGTGTGTTTCTGATCTTCAGGCGTTGACATAAGGAGTTTCCGGTGGCTGGCTTTGTGTCCTCCGAGTGCTTGGTAAGATGAAAAAGCTTTATTGCAGACAGAGCATTTGTGACTGAGTTTATCGGTGGTTAGCGGCGCCGGCGCCGATTCAGTATCAGATAGAGTCTGTTTGGCGGCGGAGTTGTTGCCGCTGCGAGCGAGCATGATGAGACAAAGAGCGAGATACTCTTCTTCACTGCATGAAGATTGATCCATACGAGAGCGCTTAGAACGTTTACCTTTGGTCCACGGTGTATCGAGGTAACTGAGATTGGGTTCCTCGAAGGGAGTGAAAGGAGTAGCGGTGGTGGGTGAGTTAAGTGCTTCCATAGCCATATGATGAAACAGTTTGGTAGCGTTGAGAGAGAACTGGGAGAGGATTATGTAGTTGATATTTTTTTATGTTGGAGTGTGATAGTGAAGATTGGGTGTGGTGTGGTGGGTTTATATATAACGAGAGGTGAGAATTATAGAGGAAGTTACTTGACAGGTGGCGAGAAAGTAGGCGTGATGCTCTACTTGAAATAGATAATTACTTAATTAATTTGAGTCAATCAAATATTACATAAGATTGGAGCACGTGCTTCTTTGGTGGCAATTCATTCAGTCAAATAAAGTGTTGTTGTACCAACGGCACTTTTTACGAACGAGGGGAAGTGAGGAGACTGACTCAATGTTGTAAAGTCAAAACATGAGAAAATATTTTTTTATTTTAATTTTGAGAGTAAAGATGATTAGGGGTTGAGGAAGTTGGTCCGAAAGAGTTATTGGGTAGGGGCGTCGGTAGGGCAGTAGTGTGAACTAGCCACCGACGACTTTTCTTAGTCAATGTCATGGTTTTAGTAGCCGACTTTAGTTTAATATGACTTGTACTTCTAGTTGCAATGTATTCATACATCTCTATTTGGCAACTTGGTAAGGGAGTGATCACTCATCCCTAGTTGATTCAGGGGTGTGTATGTATCATGAATTGCGTTTTGGATTCAAAGAAAAATATTTAAAATTGAAACAAATTGGTAATGCTTTCATCACGATTTTTGGGAGAGGAAAATAGGATAACTGCCCAAGTCAAAGGAGAGGAGAGATCTTTCTATTTGTTTAACTTTATTTTGTTTACGATGATCAATATCTTTCTTTTCTATTTTTTATATTCTATATTTTTTTTATTCCACTTAATAATTTAACTTACTTTTAATTTTTACTTATTATAATAATTTTATTTAATAGAATTCCAACACTCTATTCCACCATTTTTATTTTTTATTTTTATTTTTTTTTATGTTTTTTTTTATTATTATATATTGATATCAATTATCGATTAAAATTAAAATAAAATAATTAAGAATTAAATATTTTTTCAATTTAATAATTTATTTAAATTTTTTTCTAATTTTATATTTTTAATTAATTTTTCCTTACAAATAATAAAGATGAGATAAAATTACAAAAAACTAAAAATGTAATATAATACACTAAACACACAACACACTTAAATGAAACACACATAATTTAATTAGTATAATAGACCCGGCTCACAAATAATCTATTTAATTATGAAATATTTTGAACTTTGTCCATATGTGTTTGACTAGTTCTGCTTGCAATTTGTGATGTACATTTGAATCATGCATCACAGATCTAGCACGCACATGATTCACAAATGCAGGTAACACATCGGTCGAGAATGGCTCCGGCGTACTAGACCCACTTGCCTCAGATTGATCATAATTTATCCAATGTTGAGCATATGCATCTCGCTCATCCTCAACAATCATATTATGCAATATGATACATGACCTCATGATGAGAGTCAAATCGGCTATGTCCCACAAATGGCCTGGTTCGGGAATGATTTTAAACCAAACCCGTAACATCCTAAATGCACGTTCGATGTCCTTCTGACATCCCTCCTGATATTTTTCAAATAACTTATCTGGTTCACTTTGAGGAAGTCTAATTGATTTGAAGAAAGTCGGATAAGAAGGATAGATACCGTCAGCAAGATAATATGTCATATTATACAGTCATTGATTCACAAATAAGTTCACTCTTGGAGTATTTCCCTGTTCAACATCATCCGAAATGGGTGAACAGTCTAGAACGTTTATATCGTTCAATGTGTCAGGACATCCAAAAAAGGCATGTCAAATCCATAGATCATAAGTTGCAACTGCTTCAAGAATAACAATGGTGGTTCCCTTATCTCTCCGAGTAAATCCACCCACTAATTAGAACCAATTTTGATCAGTGGTCCATTTGGGACTTTTCCGACGTACAAGATTTGAATCCTCTGCATTTAGAGTGGCTCTTTGACCACCAGTCATGGCACCAAGAGCCATTTGTGTAGAAAATTCAGGAAATTTATCAAGTCCAACATTCGGAATATTTTCATTTCCCATTGGAGTAGAAGAATAATCAGGGGGTGATTGAGATGAATATGACATCATTGATCCATAATATAGATGATAATTTGGATTTTATGACGATATTATGAAAGTTGGAGGAATTCCATAATTTGGTATATTTTGGGGAGCTTGTTGGTTGGAAGATTGATTTTGAAATATATAGTTTTTGGGATTTTGGTAGTTGGAAGAGTAATTAGTAGAATTTTGGGTGTTAAAAAGGTTATTGCTGGGATCTATTTGACTAAGATGCTTAGAGCTACAAACAAGAGTTTATGGGAGGCTAAATAGAAAAATTAGAGAGAAAAAAGTGGATTTTTTTGTCTCCAAATCTAATGAACCAAGTCTCTATTTATAGAGGGAAAAAATGACGAATTTTGGTGAAAATAAAAACAAATAAAAAATTGATTTACTATAAAATAATTAACTCCAAATAATTAAGGTGAAATAAAATCTAAATAATCACAACAACCAATAAGATTTTGCAAAGTATTATATATGGCCCCCACTCCCTCCTCATTCAACATGTTGAATGTTTTCAACACCAATTAATCCACATCATTTTCAACACCTCATTTAACACTTCGTTGTAAGCATTCAACTATTGAATAATTTTTTCAACACCCCATTGTATATAGTCTAATCCCAAATATTAAAAAAAAGGACTATAGAGAAATTAGGCGGAAAGTAGAAATTTCAACACATTTGTGTAGTTGTAGTGAGTAATAATAGTGTCAGAATGGATCTCCCGTGTGGTTTTTACCGGAAGAAGTCTAGTGTTAATCCCAACCATCAATTTTCTGCAACATAATCTAATTAACATATATTATAAAAATTGTGTGGTTAGATTTCACAGGAGGGTAATATCACCGTAGACAATCCCCTCCCTAATAGTATAGATACCTTGAAGCTAGTAACCTATAGAGTTGTTGGTATGTGTTTCCCTATTCTTTTTCTTCATGTATTTTCAACAATTTTCTTTCCTAAGGGTTGTCATGTTTATAACGGTCTACATTTTCTCAAGTAAGTTTGTAAGGACGGGATTTTTTTGTTTTTAGGTTTATGGAAGAAATCGGTAGATAGAAGTGAAAATAGGCTGAGTCGAGTTAAGTTTTGTCAAGCCTGAGTTTGACATGTTAAAAGTTTCAAAATCTAAGTTTGGCCTGTAGTCTATCATAGACTTATCTTTAGGCCCGAGCCTATCCTTTTTGAAGGCATGATTAGCCTACTAGTCTTACTTAAAAGCCTATATCATTTGAACATTTATAAATAAGCAATTAAACTAATATTACATAGACTATCAAATTAAAATATCAATGAGACTAAATGTTTGTTTTTATTGACTCATTTGAGTTTACCTAATAGTATAAGTTTTGTGATACTATTTGTTTTAAAGAACTTATGAAAACAATGACTTATGACATTGTTCATAAAGATTTTTCAACTTATTTTCATAAGTTCTTCAAGATAGCTAATCAATATTTTCATATTTTAACTCAAAGTACAAACTATAATATGATAATAATAAATTTATTCATGTTTATTTAAAAAAGCCGACCTAATAAGCTTAAAAATCTTTTTCTAGGGCTCGTGGCCTAGCCTTTTTAGCCAAATAGTCTTATAAAAAAGCATAGGTATTTTCTATTTTAAAAAAACCGGGTCTGGCCTGAGCCTGTGTAGGCTAGGCCGTAGGCCCTTGTTAGTTGGTCTGACATATTCTCACTCATATCGATATGCCTGACCTAGAGAGAGCAATGACTCGTCTAGACCACCCACAACATAAATATACTAACTGGGGGAAGAGCACAATGGATCCAGGCCAAGATACATATAGGGGCATTCATGGGTCGGTTTGGTTTAATTTCGAGAGAATCTAATGCCCAAACCGATAAAAAATATATTGATTGGTTTGGATTAGATTTGTATATTTTTGTGATAAAGCCTAAACCAAATCAAACCGGAAAACAACAGGTTGGTTTGACCGAATACATTAGAAATAAATATACACAAATATTTTTAAAAAATATCTAATTTACATCAACTAATTTTCCATAATAATATAAAATTCCTATTTTTTTTTTCATATAGGTTATGAATGTCACAAATGACATTTCAGTTTTTTCTTCTTAAAGTGGAATATCTTATACTAGTTTTCATGACAATGATGATATATATCATATGAATTAATATAGTTGGTTCGGGTATACGGGTTTCCGGGTAAAATTTTAGAAATTCATTGCCCAGACCAATTAACATTGGGGTTCATTGGTTTGGTTTGGTTTTTACCTATCGCACGGAAAAAAAACACAGAGTCGCCATCGAACTTTATTTATCCCAAAGGAAAAGGAAAACATTGAGAAAACCTCAAAAGGAAGGATAATATGGTCTTGCAACCAAGATAAGGGTACAAAAGTCTGTTATGCAAAGGGAAGGTACTAGTGATAGCACCAAATTACATCGTTTATTTGACTCAATTTGTGAAAGTTTTATTATTTTTTTGTTTACATTTCCACTATTATGTTGGTATTTTGACTATGTTTCAGATAAATGACCATTTGGGAGTTGTACATGAAGAAATGAAGTAAAACGAACGAAAAACGGAAGAATTATGACAAAATGCACTCAAGGCGATAACCATGGCATTCACCACAAGGGTGGAAATGATTGGTGCACATCCAAACGGTAAAAAGACCAAGTCTTATCCGCCTTATGAGCATGAAGTTCTCCACAGAGGGTGTGGTGATCGCCACATGTTACGGAGACCATGCATTTGGAAAATGGGCTTTCTTGGTCAAGCACTCACCCCACTTCTTCCTATTTTCTCTCCACGCGTTTGAAAATCTCCTTTGTAATTTTAGGGTTTTGGGAATCCTATAAATACCACCATTTCATCACTTTGAAAACCATCCAATCTTAGTTAAAAACTTAAGCCACATATATATTGTCGAAATTGTAAGCGATCAACTCTTCACACGGAGGGTTATCGCACCATTGATTGAGTCTATAATGGAGTTTGTAGCAACCTTTATTTGAAGTATTAATCTTGCCGTCATTTACTTTCCACATCCAAGTTCAGAGCAGGTTTATTTATCGCATTATATTTATTTTATTGTCTCTTTATTTAATCGCACTCTTATTTAATCGCACGCTCTTCTCCTACCTTTCTTTTAACTGCACGTTTAAAGTTTCATTTAATTTATCTCTTATGTATTATTTTATGATCAAATCAACTGCTTTATCGCATTCCATAATCATGTCTAGCTAAATTCACAAGTGTTGGAATGTGAGTACCGTCGATTCAACGATACTCTAAATTGTTGTTTTTTGAGGAATAGTTGAGGTGCCGAGCTTACAACGTTAAAAATAATGTTTTTATTATTTTTCTTTTTGTTATTTTAGGTAGTGTGTTGATTGTTGTTTAAACAAGTTGAAATTGGACTTGTTTTAAATTTCAAATCTTCACTTTTCAACTTGTTTATTCACTTTCTCTGTTTGTTTTGTTATGTCAATTTATTTTTTCCAAAAGCTTGGCGTGTTTAGCTTGAGGAAGTTTGTTAATGTTGTAAATATTGTAAATATTGTAAATATTGTAAATTGAGTGTGTAGCTGATAAGTGGAGGTTACATTAAATTATGCGGTTGTTGTCCTATTTTTTATGTATCTGGTGTAGCGCGGTAGAGCTTGCTTAGCGCGCTATATTGTGTTGCACCGATGAATTCTTTTTATTTCACTTGGCATTCCATTTTCCCACTTCCACAAAAGCTTTATAGTATTAAATAAAATTAGTATTTTTTTCTAATTCTTTGTTGTTGTTTGGACTCAATTTTGGTCTGGTAACTTGAAGAATTTTGAGGTGATTTTTCGATCTTGATTGATTCAACTTGCGGATGTATGCTAATGATAGTTTTTGAAGTTGGTACACGTCAGGTACTCGTTTATCGCTTTCTCTAGCATATCATGTTTAGGAAACTTTTTATTTGTATAATTACTATACCCTTCACTCTTTTTACATTACTTGCTTTTGATTGAATCACTTTAGTTCCCTTTTTGCTCCCAAATGTGAGGAAGCTTTCCATTGTTCATATATGCTGGAGGCCACAATTCTTGTTTTAACTGGATTTTATTATGTTTAATCTTTTGTTTGTGTTTATTGTATGAAAGCATGAAAGTGATCAAGATATTTTATTTCATTTTGAGCACAACTACCTTGGCCAAATAGTTATTTCATCTTATGAAAGTGTGAACTTTTGTTAACCCCTTTTGGACTTTTTGTCAATGTCCATGTTGTTTTTGAACTTAATTCTTGTCTATGAGTGTTTTTGTTTTCCTTTTTGAATGGATATTGATTCTTTATTTTCTTGAACCCTCAACTATGATTTATAGTTTGAATTTTTACCTTGCCTTAAAAAGTAGGGAGTATTCACTTTTATGTTGGTTGAATTCAAGTTAGGGAGAGAATTATTTTCTTGCTCTTGTGTTGATTGCTATGAGGTTATGAAAAGAGAAAGAAAAAGAAAAAGAAATAAAAAAAGAGAAAAGGAAAGAAAAGAAAAAGAAATAAAAAAGTTGAAAAAACTTTGAAAAAGAAAAACAAAAGAGTATGGAATAATGTTGTTTTAATAAGTATTGTGATTGGTTTGTGAAATTTGGGGTTATGAAGAAGTTGGTGAAATTTTGTGTTTGAACTTTTGTGATTTGATCACTCCTTTAGGTTTAGGCAAGTTTTTGTTTCGATTAGCTTTAGGACTTATACCTTGTTTGTTAACCAAGCCACATTACAACCTTGAAAATCCCTTATGATTCTTGCATTTGTATGTTCAATGTGAATTTTTGGATGAATGCATAATTTAGTCTATTGTTTACAAGATTGTGGATGCGTGTTTTTGTCCCTCACTTTTGTGTGCTTTTCATCTACCGGTGAATTTTTACTAGGCGTAATTCATGATTAAGCTTGTTTTATTTTAGAATGTTTAGTATTATTTTTGTACTTAGGATTCATTTTGTTTATATGTTGTCATTGTAGAATTGTGGTAAGTATTTGCCTT